ACCATAATGCAGGAAATATAATTTAACTGGCCACTCAAGAATTAATCCTTCTTATTTTATGATTTCAATCAAGGGGGGAAAATGCTACTCTTGATAGGCTCACTTCATGTGCTAATATATTTTCCCAGAAAATATTTTACTATTATAAAAAAACATTATGGTAAAAATATAGAAAATTTGAGAGAGATAAATCATCCACCACTATTAACTCAACAAATATTAAGAATTCCTAAATGTATTTTATTCTCTAATATTTTCCCATTCTTAGCATGCATCATTCATAGATGTTTATAATCATTATAGCAATGCTTAGAAGAGAGACACGCTCTGAAATTTTAGAAATAACTATTTAAGTGAACACAGTGTAAAAACTAAAATACATTATTCTACTATATTTAAGTTCTCATTTGAAATGAAAACCTAAAAAGTCCTCACATCTTTGTTTCTGGCTGCCATTTTTAATACAGTTAATAAAATTGCACAGCATATATATGTCTTAATATAGTAAATGAATAAAAATGGCACCATTACCAGGCCAGGTACATGTAATAGATTTATATGTGGGACTTTTTACATTATTCAGCTATTAATTCATATACAAGTTATTTCTCAAATTGAAAAAAAAAAGTTAATTTTTATATTAAATATGGAATTAGTCTCTCAAATTTCCCTGGATCTAAGGGGAAAACTTTATCTGCTTTCGCGATTTCACTTTTTGTATAAAATTACTTTCTTAGAGCATTTAGAACCTATAGTAAACATTATGTTATTATAAATGCCAATGCTTTGATGAAGGGTCCATGTTTCCAAATCACACAGAGGGAAAACAGGGTAATATACTTAAAACGTTTTTTTTTTTTTCTTTTTTCAGTTTATTAGTAGAGATCACCTTACAGGGTGCCAACTTAATGGTTTCCATTGAAAGTTACTATAAGTAAATATTAAAATTTTAAATATTCAGCGCTGGGTTTTTAACCCAAATGAAAGTTTTAGCAGTACCATGGCAAGTATTTAATGTTTTTCTTTTTCAAATGAACTATAAATAAAGATAGTTACAAAGATTTCAAAACCATTTCCATTTTTATTTGCATTATTCCTTCCACTCATTGCTAACTTTCAACAATAAGGCACCTTAATTCTAAAGGGAATGCTGGTCTTGACTTTTGAGTGTAATCATTTGAGACACTCATGGAGGTCAATGGTACTTAGAATTTTTTATGTCAGGTCACCATTTTAAAATGTTCACACCTAAAATTAATCTACCACTCTAAGAAAAAGACTTAAATGACATTTTTTTTTTATTCCATAGATTTGAGACACTTAATTTGTTCAATATTCTTCTATAATTATCAAGATCCAATAAACTTTTTTTTAATTCTAAAACAAATGCTGAAAAGCCATAGTCCAGTAACATAGAGATAATAATATTAAAGTAATTATTCTTCCTTTCATAAAACATGATTGAATTATCTGGAAAAAATCACAATACGGTACCAGAGTTAGAGTGGGTAAGACCTTGCTCTGTATTTAAGTTCCAGCTTATTAAAGTAATACTTGCTTGTCATTCTGCATAGCCAAGCATATAGGCAGATATAATTTGATAACAAATATTTTATGATGATTGTAACTATAAATATTTCTAATTTTACAAGAATCTAATATTATTCCAAACCTTATAAAATCCACATCCCCAAACCTCCCTTCTTTTTAAATATAATTTTGATTTTTTTAATAAAATATGTAGTTATTCAACTAATTTGAATAAGAAATATTTACATATTTACACTGTATATTGCCTGCATAAAAAGTAAAGTTAAATTGACTAACCTGTTTTCATTATTTTAACTAAAAGTGGACAGTTTATACCTATTACTACATTGCTTGGAGAACAATCAAATGTAATTGAAGCCAAGTAATTCACACTATTTATAGACATTTTTTCAGAATCACCTGCTTTGTATAGATTGTTTTAAGTGCAGTTGTAAAGTTTTGATTTTTAAGAGTTCCTTTGAAGACATCACAGATGTTGGCTTTGCTAATAATGCTGGAAAGCATAGGAGGTTCAAAGTTGCAAAAATGTTTAACACATATAAAAAATAACAATGTGCTTCTCCATTAAACTTGGCTATTTTCAATTGTCAATAAACTATAATGAAAGCCCAAAGTCCATAAATAGTTGTTTCTAGACACTTAAGCTTCTTGAGTTTGCATATGTGTGTGTTTGGGAGGGGGGGATGCAAGTAAATGCACACTGGAAAATGTTACATATTATAGTTTTTGCATCGTTACCATGAATAAAAATTTAGGTCATTTTTCAATATTTTATGCTGCTTAAAATTCTATTCGAATTTCACAGGGTCATGCACACATATACATACACATACAATCTGGATATTACAAGTAAGGATACAGAATTTTGGTTCTGACTTTGCCTTGGATTTGTGTACTACATTTACTTTCAATTATAAACATATAGTAATTATAAACTTTCTAACAAAATATAAGTGGTCTCTACTATTCATGATACAATTTTAAAGTTTCAAGAGTTCAGAAATTAATCTAATTTTTAAAAATATTGAAATATTAAAACTGTGCTACAAGCAATATGAGATATACATGTTAATAACATGTCAAAATTATAGTGTTTTTCTACATTGCTTTAGTTTCCACTGGATCAGGATGCCCTTATAATACTATGATATGAAGTAACTGTAAACATTAATATGGAAGACCAACTGAAATATCACAGGAGAAAGATATCTTGAATCTAAATCTATCTAAAGATCTAACAAATATTAACACAAATAATGAAACTGCCAAATCAAATTTTATTTTTAATGAGTATGCATATATTTAACTGAAAACCATTACCATCTTTCCTTTTAGTTAGTCAAAAAGTTCTTTCAAAATGTCCCAGCATGAATGGAAAACGCTCATCCTAACTCCCCAGTGATTCTACCCTGGGTGATGACTAACTGTATTTCCCACTCAAGATCTCATCTATTAATACTTTATGTAGCTGATGCAGGATTTTGTGCTTGTTTTTCCAGCACGCTAATTAGTTTCAACATATAAATATAAACTTAGTTTGTTATATGGTTATTTCCCACCAAAAGAGGATAGCACTATTAGTTTTCTTAAGAAACTTATCACAATAATTCAAGGGAACCTGTTCTTGAATCCCACTTTCTCTATTTCCCTCTGACCAAAATAATATGTGCCTATACGAAAATTCGGTTTACCCGAAGAAGCGTAGGTGCATTGATTCAGTTCAGGAAACATAAGGAACAGCCCATCATAGGTTTTTCACTGCATGAAGTTAAATGAACAGTAAGAGATTCTGTGAATTGCAAAAATGAACTAACTTGAACTGGGATCTGCTTCCAAAAAAGTTACATTGATATCAAATGCTGAGCGTAAGACATGAACACTATTTTAAAACTGACTTAAAAAAAAAAAATGAAGATGGAAACCTTCATGGTTAACCTCTCAACTCTGTCTTAAGAGAGTTTCACTTACAGTTAGTAAAAACCATTAGAAATGAATGATACTGCTGGTAAGTTTCTAACATACAAACTAATTTGTGATGGAGCATTAAAAGTTCACCCCTGACCTTGAAAAGTAGAAGCTGGATTTTAAGTTTGTGATAGAAGAATGTATCTCAGGCTAACGCTGAAGAACCAGTGATAGCTCAGCTGCAAAGGCACATGAAGTATGCGCCTCAAATTGCCATTTACGTGGGATCTTACCTAAAGCGTTATAAAAAACAAAAACAAAAACAAAAACCAAACACGTTCCAATCCTTCACATTAATATCTGCAGTTACCTTCTAGGACTTGTTAAACCAATCCCGCAAAGGAAGAACACTACGTAAATATTATACTGACCCAATGACACTTTCCAGAAAGCTGGAACGCAGGTTGCGATAGCTACAGAAGAAAATTCACAACTCCCTTAATTGTAAAGTATCTTTTAACAATTTCACAACGTACAGATTGTTAAGGGCCTTAAGGATTTGCCCGAAAAACTTCAGTTCGTCGGGACTGCTACAGTTTACTTGGCAGTCTATGCTTTCAAGCATCTGCGTTTAGTAAAGTCCCCTTTTGCGTGGCTACTCAAGTTATGCCCACGTAGATCAGCGCCTCCGGCGCGCACCCCCGCACACCAGCCTCAAGCACGTAGAGAACCAACATTACCCCGGTTGCTGTGTGTTTCCAAAAACTTGCCTCCCCTAATACTCAGCTGGAGGAGAGCTTACTTTCCACATTGGCAACTCAGAGATTCTATTTAGATTAGCACCACACGAACGCAACTACGATTAAAAAATCGTTTTTTTCCTCAAGAGTTTGATCATGTATTTATTTACCAATCTCTGACACATTCCTTAAAATCATCTGAATTCCTAGATTGTCTTCTTCCCCAAGAAAGGGAAATTTTTACCATTTGGAATAGGGTGCTATTTAAAGAACTCTGAAATCAGAATAATAAAAAAAAAAAAAAACTAAAACTTTTTTTTTCTCATACGTGCTGCCAAGTTCCACTGCAAGTTCCAAATATTGTGCAATAATTTGGAAATCCAGTTAACGATGGGAAAAATCGAGCCACTCGGAGTCGGGAACTTGCAAGGGAAAAGTCAAGGAGCGGCGGCCGCACGCACGCCCAGCGGACGCTGCATCCCAGGGTGCACTCCCCTCCCCACCTCTCAGATGGAAGGTCACGCTTCGCAATCGATTTCACATACTGTCACTTGTCCTTTTTTTCTTAACCCTCTGGTAAACTAGTTGGAACCTTGGAGAGCTTAACGCCGTTGGCTGCAGGGTTGCGCTTGGAGAAACACGTGCCCCCAAGTAACAGGACGAAAGCAGCCCCACCGAATCTGGCGGCGGGGAGCCAGCGAGGGCAAGACGTATACCATATTCCCTGCTTCCTCACAGTAGTGTGAGAATCTTCCCAGTCATCTCCCCGCCCCCTTTCGCCGACAGTGCCCGGCGCGCCCTTACCTGAACTATCGCTTTTCCTTTTGCCGCCACTTCTCTTCTCCGCCTCCGCGGGTGACAGCGCCTGGCGGCCGTAGTCCCCTGGCGCGCACGCAGCCCCGGTCGGGGTGCTGGAACCCAAGCTGGAAGAATTGGAACACAGGACCGGCGGGCTGCTCCCCAGCTCCGGGGGCCCTCCCGAATCCGGCTGGAGGCAGAGGCTGTGACGAGCCGCACTCGGGGGGGAGGACATCTGCGGGAGGTGCCAGTTGGTTTGCAGAGCTTGGTGCTGCTGCTGCTGGTGGTGGTGGTGGTGATGATGGTGGTGATGGTGGTGCCCCCTGTGATGCTGGCTGGCAAACATGCCCTCCTCGTTGGGGTATCCCGCGATTATGCAAGACGAGGAAGAAGTGGAGAGCTCGGGGTAGGACATATGGTCAGATCTTCCATGGAGGGCGAGAGAGGACTGGGAAAACGGGTGCAAGCCTTGCGCCGTGGCGTGAGGGCTGCGCAGGCAGCCAAAGAGCGGGTGTTCCATAGCATGCAAGTCTCAGGTTCCAGGCAGAAGACTTCACGATGGTTCCAAACGCTACCACCCTGTCACTTTTCACTAGAAATCGTGTTTTCCCCCTCCCAAATAAATAGCCGTTTCTGCAGAGCTCGGATAATCCCGGTCCTGAGCCCTAGCGGCCAGACTCCTTTACATATAAACACTCGGACCTGGAGAAGCTTCCCTTCGAGCTACTCAGATGTCAAGAGTAGGAGAGGTTGAAGCCAAAAGAAGGTGGTCCCAGAGAACTGCTTTCAGGGGGAAACGGCTCTGAGAGGTTATAAATAGAGTGTAATGTGAGCTGGGGGCTGGCTTAGGAGCCCGGCGCTGACCACATGCAAACTCCCTCCAAAACTCCCGCTCAGTCTGCGCCACGCGCTCCCTGTTCCACTTCCTATCTCCCGCTGGACGCACACAGTGCGTCCACGCCCGCCCGCCCTTGCCAGCCGCCAAGGCTGCAAGCGGCGCGCCTGGCGCCTAAACCCGAGCCCGGGCGTACAGCTGTTCTCCCCTCCCGGGCCCGGCGGCCAAGGTGCTCCGCGGCGCACGTCACCCTAACTCTGCACTCAGTGTCCGGCCCTCTCCCTTCTCTTGAGAAAGATGTCTTGTCAGTGCCACTTGGGCACTGGCACCTGCAGGATTGCTAGGGGTACGGCTAGCTCTTGAGGAGCACGAAAGGGGAAGTAGGGTTAAGGAAAAAGATCAGAGCTAGCCTGGCGCGCGCTCAGAAGTGTCTCAAACTCTACATCAACGCGTGCCCTGGGCGCAGCGGCGCGCCTAGCTTTTCGCAGCTGTCGTCCCTGGGTGGGTTGTTAATGGGCTCGTATCTGGCGCCCGAGGTTTCTGGGAAATTCTTCTCGGCAGAAAAGCGCTATTCACAGCGCGAAAAGAGAGAAACCTGGTGGGTTAGGTGAAAACCGAGGAGCGGCGAGAGTTGCAGTTATCTAGAGACGCGGGCATCCTCACCTGCGGTGCCAGGTGGGGTCTTTCTTCCTGGGCTTTCCGAATATGTCCTCCTTGCTTTGCACAATGTCCTTCGCCCTGCTTTCCTGGTCCGAGTCAATCTCCTAGCCATTTGTCCACCCAAAACTTCGGCCAGGAAAATCCGAAGTGATACCGTCCTGGTAACATGTGATGTGTATAGGGCACGCACATTTTCAGTCTTTCCCCTCAGGAGCCAGCCCAGGTCTCCTCACCTCCCTCCAGAAATTCACCCTCTTCCCCTCAAAACTAAATCAGCTAATGGTACAGCTTCTACCCCCGCAAACCGCCATGGTTCCACTTACTGGGACATTTTATGCTTTGATATCCACCAAAGCTCACTAAACCTGGGTGCTGCTTCAGGTCTCCCAGGTTACAATCTTGCATCATACAAAATGAGTTAGAAAACTTGCCCCCAGTTAATTAGTATGAGCGACGGCTGGTCTTTAATACTGCCACTTGCTTGAGGGGTGACACTGTCTGCTGGGGGCAGAGTCGTTTACACAAAGCAAGCAAGCAAGCCGCACTTAATGAGCTACAGGAACAGTCAAGTCCTGCCTGGGACTTGTGGCATCAGAAGATCCGCGCGCACCTATACTGCCCAGGACCCTCAAGATGCCACCAGCAGTGTAACCCCGTTATTTTCATTGTCTCAGGTGTCCTGAGGATGGCTACTAGGTCTTTGAAGTTGTTAATGGGATTAATGAGGACAGCAAACCAAGCCAGCCATCTGGTTTGGATTAGGAAAAAGTATTGATGAATCTTTGAGAAGTGTCCCCAAGGCAGAACCTTTCCCTCCACCGGTCCCTCAGGTTTCAGCCTACCTCTCTTGTCTTTTAAGCCCTACTGCAGAATAGTGGCCTCTCAATAAACCTTTACATCCGTGTGAAAGTTCGAATTGTTTTCCATTGCTTAGAGGTGGGATGTGGTGGGGGTGATCAGGAATTCTGAGATTTGTAAGCGCTGCTTTCTTTAACGGAAATTGAGCCCTATTTTGAGGGAAATTAGTTTTGCAGACTTCGTTAAAAAAAAAAAAAAAAAAGCTAAAACTTTTGTTCACCAGCTGCTCAGCTTTTCAGTCTGGGTTTGAGCTGGAACCTGCTGCAAGCGTTTGACGGTAAGACTTTCTTTGCCGATACATTTTGGGAATCTAATATTGTTTTAGACTTCGAAAGGGGGTGTTCTTCAGGTTGCACGTTTCTAAGGGGTTTAAGCACTCCCAGGATGGCGTCCAGGGCTTAGATCTTAAGAATGTTTCTTCCTGCCACTCCCCACGCCCTTGGCTCTTTAAGGATAAAAAAAAAAGGAGGGGGTATATTCTTCTAATATGGTCTGAATATTTTTTGAATTTTCATTGTGTTTATGGTTTCAATATGTGCTCTGATATTAAAAGTTGAAGTACAAAGAGCAACACTAAAGTTCCCAAACTTGAGTAGCTCCTCTATAGGGATTATGGGTGAATGCATTAAAGGCTTTATCCAAGGAGAAATTTAGGCAACCATCTCCATAAACAGTAACCAGAAATATTTACGTAATATAATGGTGTCTACTAAAAGCATTATGGAAAATGTCAGACAAGGCGGACTAAATAAAGATACACTGGATCTACACAGATCAACAAAAAAACATCCATAAAGGTCCCCTTTTGGTTTCCATTACAGTGGTTTAGAGGGAGCAAAGCAATTGAGAAATGAATGGGTTTGAATTTAACCAGTGTGCTTCAGGTAACTAGTAAGTAGCAAACACAAACTTTTCATCTCCAGGAGCTGCCAATTCTCCTTGAACCTGTCCAGTGATTGTGCTGGTTTTTTCTCACTTACTGTGTCAGATGTTAACAACATGCCCAGAAATTTCTCTACAACCTGCCTCAGTCAGTCAGCCTCTGGAACTGTGGGGCTAGAAGACTCGGAAAGAAAAGTTAGAAAAGATTAGAAAAAGGAGTCTCTTTGAAAAGCACACAATTAAAACAAAGCTAGCAGGAAAGGTCTTTTTAATTGGAGACCCAAAACACAGTATCAGTAAAAATGATGAAGTCTAGATTTCCAACAGAAAACATAATATAAGAAACATGTCACTTGAAAAAGTGTGGCTCAAAGAAGAAAGAAAGAAGGTCTTGATGCAGTCCAGTATTAAATATTACATTTTTTATTTTCTCGGAATTTCCAAATATATATTAATTATTCCATAAAGTGTTTTTTTTTTCAAAATTTTCACTTCCTAGAACATTTGGAATAAGAAAAAATATTGATTTTTATTTTCTAAGCCACAGGAAAAAAATTTAAATGTCCTAACAACAGGAAAGATTCCTAACATTCCCTATAACAACTACTTCAGTGTCCACATCTATATCCCAATACTGAAAGATGACTTTTTACATTTAATGGCTAATTATATTATGAAGAATGGTAAAAATTACAAAATGTATTATAGAATTTTTGTAGCTTTCATTTTAAACTATAAATAGTCTGGTGTTTATCCTGTATTTACAATATATTTGAATTTTCCTGAAAAATATTCTATTAATACCAGTATTTCATGCAAAGTTTTAATATCAAGCAGTGCATTATAACAAGAGCTTGAATATATGAATAATGTAAGCTGCTAGTCTTTTCCAGAAAAAGTAATCAAAACTATTTAAGCATGTGCTAGGCTCTTTAAATTTGACAAATATGTACATGTATTATTCCTTTTGCTTAACAAAACAATATTCAATAGTAAAGGCAGATTTTTTTTTAATTAAGATATTTTATTTCAAAGAGACTAGAACTTAAATTAAGCAACCTGAAAAGTTTGTTTAAATTTTAAGAATCATGATGCTTCTTTTAAGAGTTGCCATTCTTCTGCACATTTGTGTCATGAGGTATGATGGGAAAAATATTTAAAATTAAGCATAATCTTTAGCTAAAGATATTATAAACTTTGTCTTGCATTTTATCTGCCAGACAAATTTACTTCGGTAGCATATAGCCATGATATACGAATTTATGTATGGAAAATTAAATCACAATGGAATTTGTCTATGAAACTTGTGCTGTACATAAAAATATCTTTTCTACTATATTTCTCCAAGAAATGAACAATTCTGTCCTTCAGTTCATTCTTCTGAAGTAAAAAAATTTTTAAATATATTAAAATATGCTAAATACTCAATGGTAATTTATGTGATTTATGATGCACTCCATATTTAAGAACTAAGGAACTGCCCTTCTCCAGGAATTATGCAATGTAGTATTTCAGGAACAATTTTGCTATGGCTAATGCATATTATTAGGTGATTCAGTATACCTTTACTGATTTTTAAAATAAGTTGCTATTTTTACATAACACTGGTTGGTGCTTTCACGATAAATTTGTTATGTTTCTATATTACTAAATGAATACTTAACCCTTAATTTCAAAAAAGTGTGAAATAATACCCAATATACTTTGTTTTCCTAATTTCTGTCTTCTTCCTACATTTAGTTTTCTTTCTTTCATAAATTGGTGGTTTTCTTCATTTCAAGTATCATCTAGTAAATAATGTTCAGAACACTATCATGAAATACAGATTATGAGTGATAATTTTAAATTTATAAGATTTAATTAAAAATTAAAAATATTTGCAATCTTTCATTATTCCAGTTCCCTTCCACATACATTTTATGACATTTTAATCATCCTTTGGTGTGTATGTAAGGAGTGTCAAAATGAAGAGACACCGACCACCTCTCAAATTTCAAAAACGTCTAAATGAACTTCCTTTTGTCCACCTGTTTTAAATCCAGAATTATTCAACAGTTTTCTTATAATGCACATGGGAGATAATTACATTCAGTTCCTACATTTTCATTTGCATTCACCTTGTATGTTATTTTTGTTGATAAATGTATCTCACGTTGGCTCCCTTATATACCTAGCTGTAAGAAGTATAGGCATACTAATGCAAGACAGTTCCATAATGAAATGCTGTATATTGCATTATATATTCTATACCATCAAACTCATAAGCATTAAGTTTCTATCCACAA